AATTGACTATTTTTTTCATAAACATCAAAGAAATTGCCTCTATTGGACACTTTTAGCCCCCATTAGGCATTTTAAGACAACTTGTAGTTGTGAAATAGGCAAAATCAAGACAGAATTTCTAATTCACCTTCTATAAAGCTTAAGGTCAGGCACCTGTTTTCTGTGTATGTGCTTGCTGAGTGTGCAAACTTCTTCTCTTCTCTGCCTCTCCAGACTCATTACACACCAGCTCCTGAGAGCCGAAAGGGCCATCGGCTGCATCTGTTGCTACTATTTAGGATGACAGCAACACCTGGAACCATAAGACAGTTCATATGGCTGTTTCCCTTTCAGATAGGCAACTGAGAGAAGCTGTTACATAAAGTGTTCATTTATGCAAAGTTGTTTCAGTCTTTAGCTGTTTATATACAGAAACTTTGCCAACATTATGAATTTAGCTTACTATGTTGTCAACCAAGAAATCAAGCAAGGAACATATTTACATCTTCTAGAAGTAAGTAATCTTGCTAGAGCTGATGCCCAAAGAGGGAATCCACATGCATTTCCTCCTTCACCTCTGCTTCAACATTAATATGGAGGTAAAATTATTTAACAATTTTTGAATCTTCCTTTGTAGGGCCAGTCCCTTGCATCAGGTAGATATCTGAACATTAATAAAGGTAATCTTTACGGACACAAAGGCATGTCTGGATGATTGTGGTGCTTATTTCATATAAGCCTTAGATAATTTGTATTTGACAGAATCATAATCTTGAGTTTATAAAACCTTACAATAACTGATCCAGCAGTTTTCTTGTCCAAGTCATCCACTAGAAATCATAGATGTGTATAATTAAACAGTGCTCTGCTCCTATTGTTAGCCATATTATATATCCTTAAGAATAGTTTAATAAAGTGCCTAGCACAGCAGATGCCCAAAGATAATGATGAATGGTCACAAGAGATTGTGAGTGCAATAGTCACAATACTACAGTGGTAGAGTTTCATTATAATACATATATTGGGTCTGGGGAGATGGTTCATTGGCAAAGTGTCTGTTAGCAAGTGTGAAGACCCGAGTTTGGCTCTCTAGTACTTGTGTAAAAATCTGTCTTGGTGGAGGGCTACTGCAAAGCCAGCATTGGGTTTGGGGTGGTGGGAGTGCAGACATCGGTGTACAACAGGAGGCATTGGCCAGTCATTCTGGTCAGTTGGTGAGTTCCAGGTTAAGTGATAGGACCCATTCAAGAAATAGCATGGAGAGATATATAGGAAAAACAAAACAAAACAAAAACAAAAACAGGGATGTGCACCTCTGGTCTCATCGTGCACACAGAAAACACACAGACATGAAATAAAAAAAAATATCATGTGAAACTTACAACAAAACAAAGGTACAACTTCTAAGAAATGTGCCAAATCCATTCTGGTTGATATACAGACTAAGCCTAACCATATTGTGATCGCATTGTCTACCTGCATAGATTAATTAAAGTGAAATTATGAAGGCTACATTGACAGTAGCAGTTGTATCTACACCTAAGCAGCTAACTTCTTCATGAATATGCTTAGGAAGTTATACAAACAAGCTCTCCTGTGGGTAGATGATGTGTCATGCATTCACACACAAGAGACTTTATATCCTTGGTCATAGATTTTGTCTAGGTTCTTTCTTTATCTAAACATAGTGAAGTTGTTCTGGATTTGTTACATGGGGTAGGCAATCTGAGGTTTAGAAATGGAAATGGTTGTCATGGACTGTTATGGTTAGGGTCATTATTGTTGTGATTAAAGACCATGACCAAGGGTTTATTTGGCTTAGACTTCCATATCACTGTTCATCAGCCAAAGAAATCAGGACAGTAACTCAATCAGGGCAAGAATCTGGAGATAGGAGCTGATGCTGCGGCCAAGAAGGGGTGCTGCTTACTAGATCCCTCCCCCATGACTTGCTCAGCCTACTTTCTTATAGAATGCAGGACCACCAGCTGAGGGATGGAACCACCTACAATGGGCTTGGCCCTCCCACATCATCACTAAGTAAGAAAATGCTCCACATGCTTGCCCATAGCCAGAGTTTATGGACACATTTTCTCAACTGAGGCTTCTTCCTCTTAAGATGACTCTAGCTTGTGTAAAGTTGACATAAAATTAGCAAGCACATGGACAACATATGTAACTAAAATATAGAAAAGACTAGCCAATATGATATACTAGGATAACCATTGGTGTTGTTATCTAAAGACTTGGATTCAAGTCAACCCTTACTTGCTCTGCTATCTTTGACTAACAACATATTTTGCTAGCAAAATTTTCAAAGGGATGGCAACATGTACATTCCCAATTCAAGGTTCTGATCCCAAATAACCTACTAATGAAATTTGATGTCAGTATTTGCTGTTTGCCTGCCTGCCTGCCTACCTGTCTATCCTTCCATCCATTAATCACTTAATGTCTAATGTTTAATATAGAAATATATATTCAGAAATAAGCAATTTCTTCACAGAATGGCTTCGTATTGCATTATAATACTAATCTTCATCCTGAGACCCCTGTGATTAGGGTGTGTAGTTGTGGAATGGAATGCCCTTACTCAATGGCAATATCACAGCACTGCCATAAAGTCAATATCCCTCTTAGTTTTCCCACTAACAAATACTTTTACATCTTTTCACATAAATAATCCCTCAAAGAGATAGTATCAGAGAATATAAGATTACACACCAACCTTTTAAGATACCTGTAGCTGAAAGTATTGTTCTATTATATGTAATTTTACTATGTTAAAGTTAAAACTTCCCCTTTTGATTAGTCAGAAAAGGGGAGGTGCTGTGGGATGTTCTGTATGCTGTGAATGTGTTGTTCTGATTGGTTGATAAATAAAACACTGATTGGCCAGTAGCCAGGCAGGAAGTATAGGTGGGATAAGCAGACAAGGAGAATTCTGGGAAAAGGAAGGCAGAGTGAAAGACACCAGCCTGTCATTCAGGGAGCAGCATGTAATGACACACAGGTAAAGCCATGGAACATGTGGCAACATATAGATGAACAGAAATGGGCTGAATTTACATGTAAGAGCTAGTCAGTGGCAAACCTGAGCTAATGGTCGAGCAGTTATAATTAATATTAAGCCTCTGTGTGATTATTTTATAAAAGGCTGCGGGATGTGGGTAAGAGATTTGTCCCAACCACAGGCCAGGTGGAACACAGAAAAACTTCAACTACAGATACCTACTTTAAGGGCCTCTTTTCCTCATTATTTATCTGCTTTGTCTGAGCAATTACTATAGCAGTATAAATTCCAGATAATATTGTTTTATTCACACATAATACACACACTCATGTTTTTGCATTTGTTAAATATTAATTTGTTCCTAGCTAAGGAAATTCTCTCACTGTGTTGGAAGTCTTTTCTACATTTGTAACATAACCAATACTTAAAACACACTCTTGCTTCTGAAATAAGGAAGCCACTGTTTTGTAAACAAAGTGACAATAGGCACTCTGGGGACAAGCTGAATTCACAATCCACTTGTTCCTCCATGTGGCTCTGCCGTTTGTCCTGACATCATCTCTTCAACCCTGAAAATAAATCTGACATCAACACAGTGTCCATTGTGGATCCTCTCTAGGAACCAGAGGGCTGGGGAACAAATGGCGCATCGTGGCCTTTCTGTCCCGTTTGGAAGAGCACATCCAGACTCAGAATTTTAAGCATAGCTCCCCTCCCCTCCCTTCCTGCCTCTTTCCCTATTCCCTTTCTCTCCTTATGGTTTCACAAAAAGATGGCAGATTTTGTTCCTGTGTAGCAAATGTGTCTCATGTTTTGAAAATATTTATCGAGGATTTTTTTTTTGCTTCCCGGTTTGTCTTCCAAGAGTGCTGAATCACTTTCGAGTCACTGGAACAAAGCTAACTGACAGCCCACATACAACCTGTTATCCAGACCCACTTGAAAATGGTCGATTTCTAAATAGTCAGGACAACTTGTGTCTTTAAAATTTTTTTCTTCACCATAAAGCTCTCTCTAATTGAATTGCCCTATTCAACACAGGGCATACTTAATAACAGCCACGTTCCCTTCAAGAGAGACCACAAGGGGAGTGCTTGTGTGTGTGGCCGTCACTTACTCCTTTGTTGCCCGGAATAGCGTTCCATTGTACGGGACCGGCCCAGAAACAACCTCCCATTCCAAATGAGTGGAACAACTCTTTATGTCTCTTGATTTATTTATGAAAACTCAGAGGCCATGGAGAAAATTTCTGCTTTTAATTCTTTGCCTGTGACGTTGTGCCTTAAGATCTCAATTCTTACTAACCCTGAGATTGAGATGAAAAACAAAAAATAACAATAGCAGAGGTTTGGAGGTCTCAGGACAGCCACGTATTGTGGACAGACATGGCCGACAGTTTCCTTATCAGTCACGTGGGTAAATCAAGCAGATTTCTTCGGTTGCAAAGTCAAAGAAGCCAGGAACCTTTCCATCACCACACTTGCTGGCTTTGTGCATTAGTGGGACAGAGTCAGTGCATCATGAGGCATATGAAACCTTGTAAGAAAACCGGGAGTCTCTTCTTCAAGAAAAGCATATTGGCCGAGCAGTGTTCCTGTATGCCTTTAATCCCAGCCCTTGGGAGGCAGAGAAAGGTGGATCTCTGTGAGTTCGAGGCCAGCATGTTCTGCATGTTCTACCTAAGAAGTTCCAGGACCGATAGGACTGTTACACAGAATCCTTGTTTCGAAAAACCAAAAATTAATAAAAGAAAAGCACATTGACTGCGTTTTACGTGTCAATTCCATAGCGTTAGGAACCTTGTTTTAAATATGAAAATTGTGTTTTCTGGAAGGACCCCTAGTCCCCCTGCCTTTTCAGCAGTCCACATTTATTTTTTTAATGTCACAGGTCACTTCTCCCACTGATGAATTGAACAGAACGTGAAAAAAAATGTTCATACTAAGAAATGGTGAAATTTTTTTATACCTTGAGGGTGCTTTTATTTAAAACAAGAGAGATACAGAAATGAGTAGCACAAAGAATACTTTATTATTTTTAACATTTTTTCATACAATATATTTCTTTTCCTTTTTCCAGTTCCTCCCTGATCCTCTCTCCCTCCCGACTCACCAAACTTTTATTATTTTGCTATCTTCAAAGAGAAATAACCCACCCAAACCAAATCAAAACAAAAAGGAGAAAACACCCAGTACAAATGAACACCCACCAAAGTATGGAGTTTGTTCTGTATTGGTCAAGTGCTTCTGAGTACGGGGCTGGCCTTGGAGTGTGATTGGTAAACCCAGTGTTGCTCCATTGGAGAAAACCAATTTCCCCTCTCTTGGCAGCTACCAATAGAGGTGGGACTAACTCTCCTTCTCTACGCTGAGGTTTTGTTTATCTTAAACTTATGTATGTCTTGTGTATGCTGTCTGAGTTTCTGCAAGTTCATACTTGCTTCAGCCTTGTTGTGCCAGGAAAACGCTGTCCTCGGAGTTGGCCACCACCTCTGGCTCTTACAATCTCTCCACTTCCTCTTCTTCAAAGATCCCTGGGTCTTGAGGTGAAGGGTGTAATAAAGACATCCCATTTAGAACTGAGTGAGTGCTCCAAAGTCTTTCAGTCTCTACATGTTGTCTAGTGACGGGTCTCTGTTGATTACCAGATTACTTCTACTGAAAAAAGAAGATTCTCTAGTGAGAGTTGAACAACACCCTGATCTATGGGTATAGCAATATGTCATTAGGAATCATTTATTGCCATGTTCATTTAGCAGGATAATATTAGAGTTTCTAATAATAATAGAGTTTCTCCTGGGGCCCATGACCTATTTAGTCTCTTTTTCTGGGGTCTATTAACAGTGTTATGTATGGGTGCCATCCCATGCAGTAGGCCTTAACTCTAATAAAAATAAAGTGGCTGGTTACTCCTATAAGATTTATGCCACTT